ACTTAATATGGGAAAAGCCTCCAGCTTCGAGTGTGATGTAATGATGACAAGTCATCAATACTGTCCTTTTCTATTTGGTTCTCCATTTCATATAGTATATAAATATGAATATATTTATATATTTTAGTGGATTTTACTCTTACAGGGCTCATTTGGAAAGTTAGCAAAAAGTTAATTTTTAGCTTTTTTAGTTAAAAAAGTTAGTTTTTTTTACCCAAGTCACTACTCCAAAAACTAATTTTTTTGATTAAAAAAGTCAAAGTTAGCTTTTTACAAACTTTTCAAAACACCACATAATACATATTTTAATATATATCTAATTATATCATTGGTTTGGAGCACACTATTATTCTCTTAAATTAACAAACACTAATTACACAAATGAATTTCATTTTTACATACTTTTTATCATATAACACACTTTAATACATAATTTTGACATTACTAGAAATGCTCTTAGGATAGGATAAAGACATTGAGAGAGCCAAAGAGGGATTTTTTGGGAAATTAATTAAAAGTTAATTTTTTAATTTTTTTAACTTTTTATAATTTTTTTAGTGACTTTTTTAATTAAAAAAAAAAGTTAAAAAGTAAATTTTTTTTTTTTTTCAGAAGTTCCCAAAACATTCCAAAAGTGTTGAGATCGTGATGCTGAAAAGAGACAAGATCGCATTGTCAACGCTAGAAAGTGGAGACTCGAACAATGTGGAGGACAAGCTTTGACCATAGGTTTAAGAATGAATTTTTTTACTATTTAAGTAACATACTCTATACGTATTTTTTTTTGTCATTATTTTATTATTTTTTTTCGAGTTGCACACGTACCGCATATACGGACCGGACCGCTATATTATTATAAAAGTGAAGGTTAGAGGATGTAGATTGAAGTTTGCTCACGCTTGAATTGCCTAAAGTAGTTACCAAAAGTTGAAAATTATCTGGAGCAATTACTAACCAAGGGGAGCTAGGGGGTCAGGAGGTCCTGCCCCCTTCAACCTTACGCAAAATCTCTATTTTATATGTATATTTTTGTCAAAAATTTTTATATATTACATAATGGCCCCTCCTTGCCCCTCCCCCCAACTTCAATCTAACACTCAAAAAAAATTGTAAAGACCTTAATATAGTAGAGTTGTCTTTTAAAAAAAACATTTATAATAATGTCATGGTGGTCAGATTTTCTTATTATGTATTGTTTATCCTCTTATGTGTCAGTGTTATATTAACATCAAATATGAGTGGTTAAGGTAATAAAGAAATTGTGGTAAAAAAAAAAGGATTATTCTAATATTATTGTAGTTCAAAAAAAATTTGTAACATTATTGAAAAAATTTAATCTGGTGTATATTAAAAATAATATAGCTTATTTGTGAGTTTCTATAATGTATTTAATGGAATTACTTGTAAAACTTTATGTACCTAAGGATAGAGTTCAGATCTTCGGCCGCTCTTTCCAGCCGCGCTCCCAGCAGCGCTACAAAACGACGCCGTTTTGTATATAATTTTTTTTTTTCCTTTCTTTTCTTCTTATTCACCTTTCCCCTTTCCATTGAACCCTAGACAGAGGAGAGGAGACGAAGGAGACACGAAGGAGAGGAGAAGAGCTGGTGAGGCCGTTTTGTATATATATATATATATATTTTTTCCTTTCTTTTCTTCTTATTCACCTTTCCCCTTTCCATTGAACCCTAGACAGAGGAGAGGAGACGAAGGAGACACGAAGGAGAGGAGAAGAGCTGGTGAGGCCGTTTTGTATATATATATATATATATTTTTTCCTTTCTTTTCTTCTTATTCACCTTTCCCCTTTCCATTGAACCCTAGACAGAGGAGAGGAGACGAAGGAGACACGAAGGAGAGGAGAAGAGCTGGTGAGGCCGTTTTGTATATATATATATATATATTTTTTCCTTTCTTTTCTTCTTATTCACCTTTCCCCTTTCCATTGAACCCTAGACAGAGGAGAGGAGACGAAGGAGACACGAAGGAGAGGAGAAGAGCTGGTGAGGCCGTTTTGTATATATATATATATATATTTTTTCCTTTCTTTTCTTCTTATTCACCTTTCCCCTTTCCATTGAACCCTAGACAGAGGAGAGGAGACGAAGGAGACACGAAGGAGAGGAGAAGAGCTGGTGAGGCCGTTTTGTATATATATATATATATATTTTTTCCTTTCTTTTCTTCTTATTCACCTTTCCCCTTTCCATTGAACCCTAGACAGAGGAGAGGAGACGAAGGAGACACGAAGGAGAGGAGAAGAGCTGGTGAGGCCGTTTTGTATATATATATATATATATTTTTTCCTTTCTTTTCTTCTTATTCACCTTTCCCCTTTCCATTGAACCCTAGACAGAGGAGAGGAGACGAAGGAGACACGAAGGAGAGGAGAAGAGCTGGTGAGGCCGTTTTGTATATATATATATATATATTTTTTCCTTTCTTTTCTTCTTATTCACCTTTCCCCTTTCCATTGAACCCTAGACAGAGGAGAGGAGACGAAGGAGACACGAAGGAGAGGAGAAGAGCTGGTGAGGCCGTTTTGTATATATATATATATATATTTTTTCCTTTCTTTTCTTCTTATTCACCTTTCCCCTTTCCATTGAACCCTAGACAGAGGAGAGGAGACGAAGGAGACACGAAGGAGAGGAGAAGAGCTGGTGAGGCCGTTTTGTATATATATATATATATATTTTTTCCTTTCTTTTCTTCTTATTCACCTTTCCCCTTTCCATTGAACCCTAGACAGAGGAGAGGAGACGAAGGAGACACGAAGGAGAGGAGAAGAGCTGGTGAGGCCGTTTTGTATATATATATATATATATTTTTTCCTTTCTTTTCTTCTTATTCACCTTTCCCCTTTCCATTGAACCCTAGACAGAGGAGAGGAGACGAAGGAGACACGAAGGAGAGGAGAAGAGCTGGTGAGGCCGTTTTGTATATATATATATATATATTTTTTCCTTTCTTTTCTTCTTATTCACCTTTCCCCTTTCCATTGAACCCTAGACAGAGGAGAGGAGACGAAGGAGACACGAAGGAGAGGAGAAGAGCTGGTGAGGCCGTTTTGTATATATATATATATATATTTTTTCCTTTCTTTTCTTCTTATTCACCTTTCCCCTTTCCATTGAACCCTAGACAGAGGAGAGGAGACGAAGGAGACACGAAGGAGAGGAGAAGAGCTGGTGAGGCCGTTTTGTATATATATATATATATATTTTTTCCTTTCTTTTCTTCTTATTCACCTTTCCCCTTTCCATTGAACCCTAGACAGAGGAGAGGAGACGAAGGAGACACGAAGGAGAGGAGAAGAGCTGGTGAGGCCGTTTTGTATATATATATATATATATTTTTTCCTTTCTTTTCTTCTTATTCACCTTTCCCCTTTCCATTGAACCCTAGACAGAGGAGAGGAGACGAAGGAGACACGAAGGAGAGGAGAAGAGCTGGTGAGGCCGTTTTGTATATATATATATATATATTTTTTCCTTTCTTTTCTTCTTATTCACCTTTCCCCTTTCCATTGAACCCTAGACAGAGGAGAGGAGACGAAGGAGACACGAAGGAGAGGAGAAGAGCTGGTGAGGCCGTTTTGTATATATATATATATATATTTTTTCCTTTCTTTTCTTCTTATTCACCTTTCCCCTTTCCATTGAACCCTAGACAGAGGAGAGGAGACGAAGGAGACACGAAGGAGAGGAGAAGAATTGTCATGCCTAGTACAAACCATCGACTTTGTACATGGCATTTGATGCAAAATGCTGTGAAGCATGTGAGTTCCCTCTTTCAAGATGTTGGGGTAAAGGGTGTCTTTTCAAAATTTATGCATCAAATTGATGATGAAGAAGAATTCAAAATACAATGGGACCAAATGCTTCATAGGTATGATGCACACAGCAATCATTGGTTGGCGCAAACTTTTGGTGTGAAGGAGAAATGGGGATGGCCATATATTATGAATTCTTGGGCAGCTGGAATGAGTACTACTCAACTAAGTGAATCATTCAATGCATTTTTGAAGGATTATCTCAATTGTGATCATAACTTGATGGAATTTTTCAAGCATTTTGAGAGGGTGCTCTATGACAAAAGGTATAAAGAATTGGAAGCCGAGTATAATTTGTGTCAAAAATTGTCAAGGGTTGCCATTCCAACTGTGATGTTAAAGCAAATGGCAGATATTTACACCAAAACAATTTTTGAGGAATTCCAAAATGAATACGTGCAGTCCATTGAAGCGTCCATTGTAGGCACTATTCATGATGGTGAGAGTACCATGTTCACAATTCAAACGGATGTAGATGGAAAAAAATATAAGAATGTGACAATGGATAGAGATGGTTTTTTGAGTTGTAGTTGCAAGAAATTTGAAGTGAAGGGCATAGTGTGTCAACATTGTTTAAAGGTGCTTAGAGAGATAATCAATGCAAAGGACCTTCCTGCACAATACATACTCAAACGATGGACTAAAAAAGCAAGGGCTGAAACTGTGAAAGATAGGCGTGGGTATGATGTGAAGGCTGATGTCAAACTACATCAAAGCGATCGATATAGGTCATTGATGAATATGTTTAGAGCTATAGCAAGTAGAGCCGCCGAAAGTGAAGAAACTTATCATTTGTCACTTGCAAAAGGTGAAGAACTGAGTGTCATGGTTGAAGACAAATTAAGTGTGCACACTTTTGGTCAAGTGGAGATCACTGAATTCAGAAATTCCTCAGCTAACACATGCCCACAGAGTGATGAAGTAGATTGTCCAATCCAAGCCAAGGGACTGAAGAAAAGACAAGCAACTACCAAGGGAAGAAGGAGGATCAAGGGCGGGATGGAAAAATATATTGCGAAAAAGAAAAGAATGCAATCTAAGGAGGTAATTAATTGAAGTTATATCTGATTGTTATGTGTTATCAATTTTGTGTTATGTGTGTTACGAAAATAATTTATTAAATAATTTGGTTGTTTGCAGGGTGCTAGTTTTTGTACTCTTGAAGGTCAATATGAGCCTCTTGTTGCCATGGGTAATATTTCTAGTCAGGTAATTTTTACTTTTGTGTGCAACCTTGTATTAATTTGATGGATTGATTATTCTTGCAACTAGTAGCGTTTTATTGATTACTTTTGGTCTTTTGTGATGCACGTAGGACGGTTCTTTTTCTACTTATCAAGGTCAATCTCAACCTTCTTCCGACATGGGTAATCATTCGATACAGGTAATATGTAATTTAGGGTGTTTACCTTTGACATGCATAGACGTTAGGAAATTGAACCTCATACGGAATTATGAACTTTGTCTTACTCTTTGGTTTATGTTGGTTTACGTTAGGGTGTTTACACTCCACAAGGTCAATCTCGACCTCCTATTGCCATGGGTAATATTTCTAGTCAGGTAATTTTTACTTTTTTGTGCAACCTTGTATTAATTTGATGGATTGATTACTCTTGCAACTAGTAGCGTTTTATTGATTACTTTTGGTCTTTTGTGATGCACGTAGGATGGTTCTTATTCTACTTATCAAGGTCAATCTCAACCTTCTTCCGACATGGGTAATCATTCGATACAGGTAATATGTAATTTAGGGTGTTTACCTTTGACATGCATAGACGTTAGGAAATTGAACCTCATACGGAATTATGAACTTTGTCTTATTCTTTGCTTTATGTTGGTTTACTTTAGGGTGTTTACACTCCACAAAGTCAATCTCGACCTCCTTTTGCCATGGGTAGTAATTATGTTGGGGTAATATCACATATTGTTTGTTTTTGAACATGAAAATGCATTATGAATTTTTTTTAAAATGCATTGTCTTATTCTTTGCTTTATGTTGGTTTACTTTAGGGTGTTTACACTTCACAAGGTCAATCTGGATCCCCTTCTGGCATGGGTCGTAGTAATTACGTTCAGGTAATATTTCATATTGCATGTTTTTTAAAATTAAAATACATTATTATTTTTTTTGATGGACATTCTTCTTTTATTTGTGTTGGTTTACTTTAGGGTCATGGTCGCGAATCCCAATCTCAACTTTCTTTTGCCATGTGTCATACTAATTATGCCGAGGTAATATTTCATATTGTATGTTTTCTAAAATGAAAATAATTTATTACTATTTGTTCATTTCATACTTTATTTTTTTACGTTGGTTTACTTTAGGGTGATGGTCGTGCAACCTATATTTCTCAACCTCAATCCCAATCTCGACCTGAATCCCAATCTCAACCTTCATTTGCCATGGGTCGTACAAGTGTACATCATGTCATGTATCCTACATATGATGTGAGTTGTAATTGGTTACATACTTTACATTGAAAATGTAGTATAGATTCTAAAAAAAGTTTAATACATGTATCACTATTGCAGGGAAATAACACGCCTCAGTCAATGCCGCCTGATTCAATGCCTTTACTGTATCCCACTCCGACATCGTTTCAGAAATTGCTTCGAGATAGTACTGCAGTCCAACTGTCACAAGCCTCACATAGTCCTGCTGACAGTCGTGTGGATGGACATCCCTGGAAGGCTTGCACTGAACGATGATGTTATTATATTTGTGGATTTGGGTGTATTTTTTTTTTTTGATCGGTGGGATTTGGATATTTTTGATGGACAATTTTTGGTATGTATTTGTAATGTTTTGTGGGATTTGCATAATTTTTATGGATATATTTTTTATGTATTTGTAATGTTTTGTGGGATTTGTATAATTTTTATGGATATATTTTTGTATGTATTTGTAATGTTTGGTGGGATTTGAATTTTTTTATGGACATTTTTTATTACACCCAAGAAGGGGTGAGAGTTTAGTATTAACTATTCATGTTTGGTGGGGATTTAATAGTTTACTTTGTTTTTACTGTTGCAAGAAATTTGTTTCATGATAAATTCTTTGTTTCATAGTTTAGTATTAACTATTCATTTTTACTGTTGCAAGACATTTTTGTTTACTTCATAACTATTCACATGATAAATTCTTCATTAATACGGTCAGAATCCTTTGTTTCATTCATAGTTTACTTTGTTTTTCCATTCAATTTGTTGTACTGGTTGGACTGTCCACTTAATTGTGGTAATCTTCATGTTATGGTTTCCATTATAATTCTTCAAACGCCATTCTTCAATTCGAATTTTAAAATTTCCTGTTTTGATTACACCATGTAATGTAATGGACAAGTTGAACTTATTTCCGGTTATTTACTGTTTTGATTACACCCTGTAATGTAATGGACAGGTTTGATTTAATTTCCTGTTTTGATTACACCCTGTAATGGAGAAAATACACTTATTCCCTATTTTCATTACACCCTGTAACGGACAGGTTGAACATAATCATAACTATACAAAGTGCACAACATAACCATACAAACTGATTACACAGTTCTGCTGGACAAAATGAACAAAATAACCAAGTTCCATTACATAACCATATAACCATACAAAATTAACAAGTTCAGTTAACCATACAAAGATATAGTTTACCTAACCACATAACCATACAACCTGCCACTAGCTGCCATGGGTCGCAAAAATTACAAAAATATTACATTTTTATAACTAACACGATCCCAATTACAAGCAAGATACACAACCCATAAATACGACTCGAATTTTGATTTATGTCTGTTTCCAACTTAAGCATCTTCGCCCTCATAAATTGCAGTTCTTCGCTTTGAAATCGAAGTTGTTCATTCATAAGTCGAAGTTGTTGTTCGGTGACAGTTGACATATTTTCCATTTGCACTACTCCTTCACGTTGTAACAAGCCCGCGGGGGGACCTCGCTACAGCTCGGACTCGACTTTCGCAGTCACGGTTCTAAATCTGAACCAAAGAGTCCAAATCCGGCAAATCGTTTTAGGAAAACTGATTTTTGAAAGAAGTGCCAAACATGGACTGCTTTGCCAGATACAGAGTCGCCACCTAAATATTTTATTTTGGGAAATTTAGGAAACCCTGACTCGGTGACAAAAGGCCACGTGTCCGTCATCACCAAAGTTGCCTCGGCTCGGGAACTTGGGTACGATTGGGGAAGGTCACTTCGTGAGCACATTGCACATTTCATTTAATCAATAAGTGCACTTGACAAATGGATCTATACTTGCATTAATAACTTCAAGATCCAAACATACTGTTGAAGTTATGTATGCCAAACATATTTATAAATTAAAAAAAGAAAGAAGTTATGTATGTCAAACATATTGTTGAATGATTGTGAACTTGTGATATCTCAGTTTGTTATCTAAATCCTTAAACTGGCATTCTTCTACACACATATATAAACACTTGAATGGTATAAAGACTGATTGTTTTGTTTGGTGATCATACATAATATTGCCAAAGATGGCATATTTGAATTGAATCTTCCCTTTTGCAAAAAAATAAAATTAGTATCAATCTATTAGAATATTTAAAGCAACTCTTTCTCTCATATCTTGTCTAATTATTAATCAATAATCTCATTTAAATATCATTTGATTTAAAAAGTGAACTTGTATATTAGGTGACTTTGAATGCAACAATGTGAATGCAACCAATATTAGTCTACAGGTTATGCTAAAGCTACTTCAATTTTCTTCAAATATTAGTCTACCAGGTTAGTCTAAAAATATCATTTTCTTCAATATGTGATATCCTACCAATGTGAATGCAACAATGCTTTGGTTTTTTCCACTATTGTAGGATAGGACTACCAGGTTTGGGTTAGGTGACTTTGAGAATAACATAAATTTATTAAAAATTTAAAAACTACTTCAATTTGAGAATTTAGAACAATGTGGTGCATTTGTAATATCTACAGGTTATAGGAGCATACTTTGACAAACTTGGGTCAAATTCATTTGCAGTTTACTCAATTACAGTAACAGATGCAGATGAAAAATGATTATCATACTACTTCATTTTCTAGTTATCTATTCTGTAATATAAAGAAATGCGATGGGTGTGTATCATTTCTCTTGGTTGTGTTCTACTCTAAATATGACTAGAAGCATGCCCTTTGAACCAATTTTCAAACACAATTATATCCAAATTGTGTCCTATATTCCCTCTTCTGCTTGAATTGCTGTAAAGATTGACCAATTTATCAGAGTCTCGATCTGCAAATATTGTCTCATGCTAATCAAGTCATTTGAAAGGAGAATTATAATAAGTGTTCAGCAATTCCAAGATTACCCAATTGCTGCATACATGCTAGTCATGGTTACTTATTTAGAGTTCAGATCTGAACTCACTTATTTAAGCTACAAATTTAATAACCATACACTACAGTTCGGGGCATATATTGATTATTTGCAGGCTATTTAGACTGTACTGATGTTTTTGTGCAGTTGTGTACCACCTCTTAAATAGTTTTGTCGAGATTTAAAAAAAGAGTAACTATATACATGTTTACACTCCACACGTTTGACTAGATTTTCTTAGCACTTCACAAAGTAATAAATATACGTGGGAGCCATTGTATTTAGATCTAATGATAACATTTTCCTTAAAATAGGTACAATGCCGGTTAATTTTCATTATTTATGGTCATTAATTCACAGACTGGGATTTGAAATTCAAAGATTAATTGGATGAGACATTAAGCTGTTGTATTAGTAGAATGATAATTCTGCGAAATAATTTGTTGTCCTAATCGAGTCATTTGAAAGGAGGATTATAATATTGGTTCAGCTTTTTGCAAATAATTTTCTTGGGGATTTATAAAATAGGTACAGAGCGCGTTAATTTTCATCATTGATGTTCTTCACTCACAGAGTGAGTTATGTAGAAAATTTGAGATGGTAAAGGGGACACATGCTATGCTTCTTGAATTTGTAGGTCATTTTATAATATGCATTCAGTGTTCAATCCAGCATCAGAGTCTTCAAGAACTTCAAGCTTTGTTAAATTGTTATCGAATATTGTTATCGAAAATCGAAAGGGAAAAATCGAAAAGAATGGAAAGGGAGAGAAACGAACCTCGTTCTTCCAGATCGTCCAGATCTTCTCCTCTCCTTCGTGTCGTCCTGTATCGTCGCCTCACTCTTCCAGATCGCCCAGCTCTTCTCCTCTCCTTCGTGTCCTCTGTCTAGGGTTCAAAAATGGAAAGGGGAAAGGTGAATACGAAGAAAAGAAAGGAAAAAAATATATATATATATATATACAAAACGGCCTCACCAGCTATTCTCCTTTGAACTCCTAAGGATATTGTATAATAGATTAATTATATTAAGATTTTTTTTAACTATTACCAAATATTACCTTAACGTTTATCTATAAATTCTTACATTTTGACCTCCTTAACCATAAAATTCATACAAATAATATTTAATTAAGACTAATCTCTTAAAATTTTATTGGTTCAATTGACCTCTATTGGGTAATATTTAATAATGCTTTAATAAAATAAAAATCCAATGGATCCATTGATGGCTCAGTAAATTTATCTATGTCTTCTCTTTTGGCGAAATGGCCAACATTCGGGAAATCCTGACTTCGTTCCTAACTAACCCCATCTAACTATTTAAATAAAAGAAACTATTAAATCTAATTTATTCAGGCATGTAATATGTACAAAACTTTTAATATGTGTATATATAGAGAGAGAGAAACAAAGTGTTTTTTATTTATTTATTATTTTCATATAAATAATAAGGTTTATAAAAATAAATCATGTCGCAATAGTAAGGTTGCTCTATTATGACCTCAATGCTAAGAATTCAAACCACAAAAATAGTTTTTCTGAACAAACAACATACACTTAATTCTCTCCAAACCTCAAAGTGTCATCGAGTAGAATTATAAAAAGAATCAAATTATTCCAACTCAACTC